TTTATATTTTATATTAGTTCATGTTGCTTTTGTGCAATAGATGAATAACAATTTATTTGTTTTAGATATTTTATGTTTAGATATTTCTATTTTGCGGGAATCCCGTGAATCGTTTATTCTCCTGCATCCCGCACACACACACACGAGTGTCTACCCGCCCGCACCAGCACTCGCCCATCTTGTCCCGAGCCGCACTCTGTTGTGTCAGGTCTCGTGGGAGCAGGCCTCTAATCCACTGGCACTTGACTCGACAGTGCGTGTGCTACATCCTTTTTACAATCTCTAGATTATAAAACACTGCATTATGTCAGCAATGTAACGCCACAGTAACGTATAGAGACTTCGGCTTGTAACTATACTCGAATTACTATTTTGAAAATTATAACGCGTTAAATTACTTTGTTACTAAAAAAAGTAATCAAATTACAATAACGCATTATTAAGTAATGCGTTACTGCCCAACACTGCTGCAGGAACACACTGTCACACTGTAAAGTTACAAGATGAGCTGGGATCGACAGTGATACTGTTAAGTGATTACAGAAATGACTGGCATTTTGGTTCAGAGGACAAAATGGTTTTGGATGCAGTAGCTTCAGTACTGAAATAGCATAAAAAAGAGAAGAAATAGGGGTCAGTTTCTTTATACCGAATACCATTAAGTCACTAATGAACATTATACAATGCATACCAGATCAGCAGTTATATATTCATATATGGATGGGTATGAAAAATTCAGAGTTAAAGTTTTATGAAACTATTTGAATGTAAATGAACTTGTGATCTTTTATGCACCGTATAATATAACTACACTTTTAAATTTTTAAAAGAAAATGGTGCTTGGCCATGCAAAAACTCATAGCCACCATGCTTACACTTAGAGTTACACTCTTAAAAAATAAAGGTTCTTTATTGGCATCTATGGCTCCACAAAGACCTTTTAACATACATGGAACATTTCCAAAGTTATTTTACAAACTGTATACTCAAGGGTTCTTTAATGCTCTGGATTGTATGATATCTAATTTTTTAAGTAAAGATTTGGTTGCTGACCCATGTACAATGCATCCATAGTCAAAGCAGGAACGAATCAATGCTTGATACATACACAACAATGCACTACGACTAGCTCCCCAATTGTGACTAGCAACTGTACGCATGCAATTTATGATCATTCTACATTTTGATTAAATTTTACTTATATGCAGTTCCCATGTAAATTTTTCATCAAACCATAAACCAAGGTATTTAAAAACAGGTACAACTTCCTTCCTCTTCTCTACCTGTTATATTTGTCTCCTTTTTCAGACCACACCCTTTTTTCATGATCATCTTTTATGATTTCTGTATACTCAAGGGTTCTTTAAGGAACTCAAAATAAACTCTAAAGAACCTTTGTCCACTTTATAAAACATTTTGTCCGATTGAAAGATCGCATGGATGGAGGTTTCCCTTCAGGAACTGCGTCGAACGCTTTGGGAACGCCCCCAGCGAGACCCCGTACTGAAGCATGTGTGAAATCAGTCCAATAGATAAGCGAGACGTCACTAGCGGGGTGACGTGAGCAACCAGGAAGCATAAAGGCGCATCTGGCAAACACACATGTTAGCTGCTGCTCTTCAGCGAGTGCGTCTATGTATGTGTGTGTGTTGCATAAGCACTTCAGTCAGTCAGTATTTCTCTGTTAGAAAGCGAGACAATGCCTAAGTGTAAAACAAAATCTGATGTGGCGAGCAGACGGCGTTTCAAGTTGTGTGTTCCTCCCTGCCCACGCTATCTCTCGGGTGGGGATACACACGATTTGTGCGTCGTCTGTTTGGGAGCGGAGCATGCAGCCCTCAAGGGGGCTGCCTGCCATGACTGTGAGCTTCTCCCGCTCCGTGTGCTCCGCTCCTGCCTGGCCGTCTTCGATGAAAGCGGCCAGGTTCGCGATCCTGCTGAGGCACAGCGGCGGCTGTTATCGTGGGGATCGCAAGTGGATTTAGCGGAGGGATCCGAGACGGGCTTGTCCTTATCTCGGTCCTCACCGTCTAGATCCACGG